AAAAGAACAAGTATATACATATGGTGTCTAGAATATATATATATATATATATATAAAATCCAATAGTCACTTGTAAATTATAATATAATTTTAAAACTTTTATGCTCAAATTTAAATATTTACATAAATGATCCTTATAAAATAAGAAACTTTAAAGGTAAATTAATTTTGAAATCTTAATCTTAACTACAATAATAATAAATGAGTACTTATATTATAGATCAATCCAATGTCTTAAATAGATTTTAGTTCTAATTTAATATACAAATGATCAAGTTCATTCAACTTTATAATATATTATGATTTAACTTTTTTAAAATAAGGATATATACGTTAGATTGGTTGATTACAAAATTAATGATTAAAATTTATAAAAAAAAAATCATATTTTTGTAAAATAAAATCTAAAGTTAATTATAACATTTAATTGATAATTATTATTATATTATACTTTTAAAGTGTAGGTTTTCATTTTAAAAGAGTTAGATCTTCGCCAAATTTTAGATACAAGTTATAGTTAAACATAACGCCGTCAAACTTATTCTTTGCTCTCCTAGCGTGTTAAGAGTAGATAATCAAAACACATTCTCACCAAGTAACATGTTTAGGGATGACAAATAAATTTGTACACATGGGTAATATTTGAATTTGTCTCAACATTGATGAGAAATACCTAATTTGATCGAGTATGGGTACAAGTAAAACCTTAAATATTAAACCGGGGATAAGTATATACTTACACTCATCCCCGTTTCCATTCCCAGTTTAATACTCGTTCCCAGTTTGATTGTTTTAAAATTTTTTAATATTTAATATTCTGTAATTATTTATTATGATACGAAACATTTGTAATTTTTTAATTATTAAGAAGTCTCTTAATTAAAATATAATATAGACAAATAAATCAATTATAATTATAATATAATGAAAAGATAAACTAAAAATATTATATTTTTTTTTGTAAAAAAAACAATTTATTTTTGATAGATACAAGGATGATACGAAAATTATATATCCGATGTGTATAAAAGTATGAATAGGTTCGAACCACAAAAATAGGTATAAGCATCATAAAACTTATACTCGACCCCCTATCATACCTAAACGTGCTTATATGAATATTGGTGTCATTTATTTTTAAAACAAAATGTAATTTTTATTAAATAATATTAATAAAAAAGTTAATATTAGTTAATATTAATAAAGATATAATGATGTAGCAGAACTCATTTAATAGATTTTTTTTTTTGAAAATGTTGAATGAAGGATTGAGTATTTAAATTTAAAAAGGTAAAAATACATAATGAGTACTTTTTGGACCCATTTAAGATCCTCCTTAAAAAGAGATCATAGAGTGTGGTCCTCATGGATGCTGCAAGATAAGTTAGCATTTTTTTAATTATTATTTTTATATAAATTAGAATAATCATATTAGACAGGGTAATTTTAAAATTATTTTTTAATAAAAACATTTTGAAGTACTTTTTTAAAGAGACTCTCTTTGAGACTTTTTCAACCTATTATTTTTATTTTAAAATTAAATATCAACATTTTTAAAGATATATTGTCAAAATTTAAGATAAACTTGTAACATAATGTAAATCAGTTATCACATATTTAATATAACTTATATGATTAAAATATTTATTTATTAAAATTTTTAATTATACAAAATAAAAACTCATCTTTTACATTGTTGGGTTTGGGGCTTTTCTGCCCCACCCCTTCAGAATTGTTTTTTTGTTAATATGAAAACTTGAAAGGCACAAATACAATGATATTAAACGACGTCGTTGAAGTTGATGTTGAATAGCAGGACATTTTATGCCCTAGCCTAAGCAAATCAAATCCAAGACCAAAACCCTCCGTAGTTGTGGCGGCAGTAACAGACAGAGGGCGAAGAGAATGGGAAGGTCGCGAAGAAAATACAAGCAATCCAGGAGCAAGGTCCGAGTAGGGCTTCCCAAGAAGAACCCTAGGCTTTTCAAACCCTCTTTCTCCGTTCCCCCCAAGCTCGTGCAATCCCTCACCGACGAGCCCCTATGGGACGCCGAAGGCACCGTTAACCACAACTACCACTCCTTCGGCGTTCTCACCGACCCCAACGCCATCGCTGTTCCTTCTCCCGCTCCTCCAACCGTCGATTCCGGCAGCGATCTCGAAGAAGACGGTATCGCTCTCTTCCTTTTCATCTTCGATTATGCACGAGGATAATTCATATTGAGTTTTCAGCACTTGTCTAGTGTTTCTTATTAGTTTATTATTGTATTTGGTTGGTGTAGACTTGAAATCAGCCCTAGGAAAGAAGCGTAGAGATGGAAGAAGTGCGCCTCCTCAGCCCTTGACTGCGATGCAAAGGATTCATATCAGTCGCCTTGTTGATAAATATGGAGATGATTATCAGGTTTCATATTTGACATTTGATATTTGATATTTATGCGTTTTTTTTGTAAGGTTTAGGGTTTAACCTTTTTGTTCTTGCTTTTTTTTGCAGAGTATGTTGATGGATATAAAGCTGAATCCCATGCAGCATTCAATTGGGACTTTGCAGAAGCTGTGCATTAGGTATCAAATGTATCAAGAGAAGAACCCGCTCATTAGGGCCAAGTGAAATGGAAGGTTAATCCCTAGATAGAATCATTTTGCCAAAATTATGTGACTGAGGATGTCATCAGTGAGAAATTTTGATGCTTTTGAATTATAAGTTATTTATGGATTTTTGTTGTGAAAGATGAAGCATTCTGGGATCTTCCTAACCTGCTGTGACCAATATTATGTAGTACATTTTTTTTTTTTGTATAATTGAATTTAAATAGTTAAATATAATTGAGAAGTATGATAAAAAAAATTAATTGACAAGTGTTTTTAAGTTAATTTCAAATACAGATTCTACGTTAAAACAAACTGGTTTTATGGTATAAAATATACTGGTCTTATGTAGCAGTACCACGTTTTGTTGTGTGGATTTTTTCCCACTGACAAAGGTAAATAGCCTACTTGTTCATTACATATTTGTATTAATTTGGATTTTCCTCCATTATATGAAATCGAGCATTAACGAGTCAGTTTAAGGATCATGTCAGGGTCACAGTAATTGTCATCTCGCAGTATTTTTAAGGGTCCAAAATTTCTACTGATAATCACATTTTCTCTCCTATTTAGTTGTGCAGTGACCAATTCAATGACTCAAATGTCGCCACGATACTTAGCATTTTATTCCTTTTAGGGTTCCTGTGCTGTAACAATGGCATGCGGATCACTGTCAAATCTTTTATTATTAGAATTTCAAGTATACTTCAGTTTTTATAACTTTACTAATTTGAGTTTTGGTCTTTATATTGTTTTTTTAATTTCAGTTAGTATTTATTTAATTTTGGTTCCTACAGTTGAACGGAGGCTATTGTAATTGTTGCACATTTAAATGTATATTTGGATACCAATTTAAAATTACGATTATTGAAAAGATATGTAGTTTGATAAAAATAAATAAAAACTTGTTAGTGTAGCTATTATTTTTAACAAATTCAACTAGTTTCAGATGCGCCTAGCAAATAGACGGCTATTAATTATTAGTATTACTAAGTAATGTACTTCAACTAGAAGCCTTTATGTACATTGAACATAGTCGGGTACGAGCCTAACGATTTGCCAAAAACATTTTAAAGGGCCACTAGTAATAATTTATAATGTAAAAGCCTTTGTTTACATTGAACAGTGTTACGTTCGAACAATACAAATAAAAACTTCTTACAAGTACAAAACCAATCGTGCAACGACTAGGGGTGGGCAAAACGAACTGAACTAAACTGAACTTATAAAAACTGTACTGAACTTAAAAGTAGTTCATATGAACTGAACTAAACTAAACATTAGTTCAGACAAACTGAACTGAACTATTCTTTTGTGTCATTGAACTGAACTGAACTGTACTATAAAAACATGAACTGAACTACAATTTAAACTGCACTAAACTGTTATGATATTTTGAATTGAACAATTTTGACTCATTGATCTATCAAAATAGGACACATTTGCCAACTTTACTTTATTTTCTATTTTATTTAAATTTTTCAAAGGAAAAAATATAAAATTAAGTCAAACAAACTCAGTAAATTTTAAGCCTAAAAATAAGTAGTTCAACAAAGATTAGGGGTGGGCAAAACGAACTGAACTGAACTGAACTTATAAAAACTGTACTGAACTTAAAAGTAGTTCATATGAACTGAACTAAACTAAATATTAGTTCAGACAAACTGAACTGAACTATTCTTTTGTGTCATTGAACTGAACTGAACTATACTATAAAAACTTGAACTGAACTACAATTTAAACTGCACTAAACTGTTATGATATTTTGAATTGAACAATTTTGACTCATTGATCTATCAAAATAGGACACATTTGCCAACTTTACTTTATTTTCTATTTTATTTAAATTTTTCAAAGGAAAAAATATAAAATTAAGTCAAACAAACTCAGTAAATTTTAAGCCTAAAAATAAGTAGTTCAACATAGCTCAATTGATCCGTTAAGTTCGACAAAATTGATACAATTTTTTTTCAGATCACTTTTTTTTTAAGTTTTGGTTATTAGACTATCGAGCTAATCCATTAAGACATAATATGTTAAACACATTTAATTTTTATTCTTTTATAAAAATAATTCAATTTTTATAGTTCAGTTCAGTTTTTATAGTTCAGTACAGTTCAACTTTATAACAGTTCAGTTCAGTTCAGTTTTTTTTTTAAACAGTTCAGTTCAATTTTTTTACAAACAGTTCAGTTTTTTATAGTACAGTTCACCACCAGTTCAGTTCAGTTCAGTTCAGTTTAGTTTTTTTTGCCCACCCCTAGCAACGACGTATCAACAGAAAATTACCATACACTCCTGAATGAGGTGTATCGGGTGGGAAGGAATATAGAAAAAGAAAATGCGATATGTGACAAGTCATGGAGATAGAAGAGAAATTGGGTGTGTATATTTAGTTTTAGATGCCCATGAACGCCCTACACTGTGTTTCCCAGTGCTCCTTCACTTGCTTAACCCTCTCTAACCTCTCCATCTGAAGCCTTTCCTCCCAGTACTCCCCGCAGCTGTAAAAATATTGAAATTTACAAGGTTAATTAAGAGATTTGCAAAAGGCATATTCTTTATTTTATTGAGGCTTAAACGATGGAGCGCAGAGTTAATGTGGATTTTTTTTTTCATTCATCTCTTATTTGGCCAATGACATCATTTTAATCTTATCTATTATTCAATCGTATAATCGGTATCATACCTTCGTCCTAGCAGAATATTTAATTCTTCCAAGTGCACAGCATCTTCGTAAACTCTTCCCTGCAGTCAACAGTAGAAACGCGTAAGAAGCCAACCATTCTAACAGGTTCAAATCCAATAAATAAATAAATAATTCATTAGCCAATTTTAAGCAACCCCCTCCTTCTAGAAGAGAACTAATCAATTATAGTTGGCCAACATTAAAAATACCTAAAATAAGTGAAGATTTATTCCTCTAAACTGCATTTTATCATTGTTCACGATATTAAAATAAAGGAGTTGAATAATGACAGAAGACTACTCAGATTATTGCGATAGAGTTATTTAAAGGTGAAAGTCAATTATTAAGCCTTAACGAAGCTTTAGCCTATTTTACATACAATGTGTACTGTAGTCATTAAACTGGACGCCAAACGAAGCACAAAACAGAACTGGTCTCATGTTCAGCAGGTATGGCTATAAAATTTTAGCGTTTTTGTTGGGGAGTGTTTTTAACAATAGGTAGGTGGACTTTCACTACAAGGGATGATCCTCCTCTTGGATCTCCTGCCAATTCCATTCAGGATCCCACTCTTGGATCCATCCAATACTTTCAGTATAAGGGATGATCCTACTCTTGGATCTCTTGCTAATTCTATTCAGGATCCCATTCTTGGATCCAGCCAATACTCGTCTGAGCCGATCACCAGTCATTTGGTTCGGGATGATCCTACTCTTGAATCTCTTGCCAATTCTATTCAGGATCCCACTCTTGGATCCAGCCAATACTCGTCTGAGCCGATCACCAGTCATTTGGTCGAACCATCGGTTCTGAGATGTTGAGGAATTTTTAACATCGAGAAGCACTTCACATAATAGGTAATGAGTACAAGTGAGCTTAACATCACAACATAACTTAAAACTTTAAGGTATACAAGTGAGCTTAACACCACAACATAACTTAAAACTTTAAAGTAATAAGTAAGTAGGTCTTTCTCACTTATATATTACTCAACATGCCCAACTCTAACCAATGTGGGACTTCACTTCACACTTGAACTCCAACAATTTTGACATTGCAATTTTGTTTGGTCATTACATCATAATTAACTATAACCCCCGTCACTACTAGGTCAATGACCATACATCGGCTCTAAAGACCAGTAAAGGGTGAATTTACAAGTTATTAACATGGGTCTTATGTACCAATTCATAGAGTTTATGGATGTAATCAGAATGAACATCTTTTTTGTACATTCTAGTTGAAAATAACAAGTTGTAGATGAGCTACATCTGGTTGCTTACCATTCGGCATAGAGGACATTTTTCTTTAGGATTCGCTGCCTTAAGTCCATCAACAATAGTAACTGATGCAACTGAGCAAGCACATGTATAACAGAATATGTGACCGCAAGTGAGAGAAACTGGATCAAACACTGTATCCTGTCATGGAAGAGCCGTATGAAAATCATCAAGTAAAAAAAAAAAAAGTGAAGGACGGTATAACTATACAAGAGATGCTTTCACATAGGAAAAGTATATTGATATTGAAAACCAAAGTCAAGTGTTTTATGGTGTGTTTGGATAATTTTTTTTTAAAATTTAAGGAATTTGAAATTCTTGATATTTGAATTATTTTGATTTTAATTTTTATCATTTTTAAAATATTTTATTTGAATAATTTAATTTAAATTTTTTAAATTTTAAATTATTAATTTAGATATGATAATTTGATTCCACCATGATAAAATTGATTTTAAAAATATATTCATATAAATTTTTAAATTAAATTTTATAAAAATAAATATTAGTTAATTTTTAAATATTTAATAATTTTAAAAATTAATATTAGATAATATTTAATAATTTTAAAAATATTTTTAAATATTCAATTATTAAAAGCATGAAAAGGTAAGAAATAAGGTAAAACATATATGTGAAATAAGAAAAAAAATATAAAAAATTTTAAATTCTTACTTTTTAAAGAGAATTTGAAATTATACTATTTTAAAGAATTTTCACAATGCTTAAATTTCAAATTCTTGTAAAATTTTTATCCAAACAAAATATTTTATCTCAAAAAATTTAAAATTATTCAAATAAATAAATTACTTTATTTAAATCCTCAATCCAAACATACGGAAATTAGCTACTATCAAGGAAATTAGGTTGGAAAAGAAAGGCAATAAGCATACAAAATACTGAAAAATGATGTAAGGCACATGAAATGAGTAGTTCTTCCAATGAATAAAACCAACTTACCAGGCATACAGAGCAAGTTAAGTCAATATCAATTTTGATGGAATCAAAGAGCTGACAAGTAAGTGATGGTTTTCCATCCCTGAATGTGAGATAACAACCTTGGAACAGCGCAGGTGGCACCCTTGAGTTGGCTTTGGTTTCCCTTAAGTTGATGTGAAAGGCAATAAGCTCAATAAGCCAGGGACTCTGAAGAATTTCCTTGTGCATGGTCTGAACTTTGGACTTGAATAATTGGCCTTGCTTGGAATAATGAATCTTGTCATATTTCTTTAATATTTTTCGAATTGCAATGGCATTTATGAGTGCATATACGACTAGATCTCTGCCTTCTTCGATTAGACCAGGATGATCCCCCTTCAATTTCGCTTTCAACATGAGAAAGTACTTTCTGAAGCCAGAAGCAAGATGTTGTTCCATCAATTCCTGGGCGCGCTGGTTAAAGCACCCTACTATATCTGACATTTCGTTGAGAAGGGAAGGGAAAAAGGTCCCATCGCACACTGAAATTTATTAAATTAAAACTGAAATTTATCTCCATAATATGTGCAACAAATTATTTTATTAAATGTTATTTCATATTACTAATGGAAAACACTAATTTTCATCCAAGAACAGCAACAACAATATCATAAGTTTTATCTGTTTATTTATGGATCAAAATCAGAGTTTTAGTTTCATATAATGTAGATAAAGAAATTGTTAGGTGTTAATGCATGTTACATAGATAAATGATGATGACCTGGGCATTGATTAGGGCAAGTGGGTTGATTAAGAGGATTGGTGGATCTCCTGCACCTTTTCATGATCTTTTTGAGGTTTTTGAAGCCAACGGCAGGGAGCTTGTGGCCCTGGCCCTGCATGTATTGCTGATAGGTTTTGCAGAACTTCATGGTTTGGTAGCAACATGAAGGAGCAGAATTCGCAGGTGATCAATCGGAGATAGTTAGAAATAACCAATAAGGAAGACCAGGAGAAGGCGTGATTAGTGAAATGAAAAAGGAGGTTGAATAGGAACGAGTGGCTCCATTCCTTGTTGTTTCCGAAATCATAGTTTGACGCGTCCCAAAGGGGTAAACTAGTGTGGGAAATTGCGTATCGCCTCCCATTCTCACTGTCGCTGCCAAAATGTCAAAGTAAAAATCGGTTGTTAATACTATATTATCCACCAATTTAGTGGATGTTTAGATACTAATTTTAAATTATGTTTAATAAAAAAATATACGTTTTAATATAAAAAAATGTTATAATTTTTTTTAACTTTAATTAAGTTGATCTCAATTGATTTAAACATATCCTTGTTAATTTATTATGTTAGTACACTTCTATATTTGCTAGAAAATTTTAATTAGATTTCTAGATTAAAAAATTTAATTATCTTTTTTATAACTTTTATAATTAGGTTTGGATTAAAATAAGTGAAATACAATAATAGTGATGTGATGACAGGCAGTGGAAACGATAATAATTGTAATAACATGTTTGAGATTAGTAGTGACTGAGAAAATTACAATGGTGACGGTATGTGATAATTTTATTTATAAATTTTTAATCTAAATTATTTATTTTAATTTAAGGTTTGTTATTAGTTATTTTCATGTTTTCATATTAGTAAACTATCACTTAGGTAACCCCAAGCGCGTGGTTCAGCGGTAGGGGTTGATCCACGCTTAAGCAAGGTCAGGGGTTCGAATCCTGCCTTGTGTATGCAGCCGCGTTAAATCTTGGGGCCAACTATCCCACCTTTTGAGGTGCCTCCAACGTAGCGAGGAGTGGATACTCCCTCCAGGGACGAACAAAAAAAAAACTATCACTTGAGTTGTCCCTCGTTACTATATATATTACATTCTTTCTTATTTATAAGACTCAACTTAAAATAATTATTTATTTTTTTATATAAGACTCATTTCATATCGTCTCATATACTAATTATTTTTAGACTAAAATATCCCTAATTAAAGTGTATTGTTATCTTAATTTGGTAAAATGCATTAATTATAAATTCTTTAAAGAGGATACACTCCAATTGATTAGGAGAAAAATGAGTATTAATTAGGAGAAATAAATAGTACATGACATATACTCTAATTTGTTAGAAGATATATGAATATTACTAATTTCATTCCTATATATAACACCAAAATCTTAGGTATAATTTCCCAGTGTAGTTGATGTTTTCTCCAATCAGAAATGGAGATTTAACTTGACAATATGTATTTGCATTTAACGAAAATCTCATTAATATACATTTATACATATTATTGAAATAAATATCAAATTTTAATTTAAGAATAGTACCAACCACATTTAAAAAACTATATCTAAGTTTTATCCAATATCTAATTCATCAAAATTAATAAAAGTAGTTAATCTATTTGATAACGAAAAATTTATTCTATTTATATTTTTTTTCCCTAAAATTACTCTCGTACTATTTCTCTCTTAATTAATATTCGCCTCACTCTAATAGATACTATATATCACTTCTCTCTTGTAGGTTGTTCTGGTTGATCAATAGATGCAACGGGAAGTTGTAATGCAAGAGATTCAACTAAAGGTGTTGGTTAGGGCTTAAGCATGGTGGGATGGAAGCAGTGGCGGAGGTTGTTACCATCAAATTTGCACAAGAGTTGTTGCATAGACCTTTAAAAATGCAAATATGTTCGCCAATACTTTGATCATCTACCTTGCAGATATGTTCATGATTTGATGATGGAGTGTGAATTTACGTTTTAGAAATCTTTTGCATATGCATTTTTTAGTGTGACCCAAAAAGCATGGATACTGTTTAATCCAACAACTAATCCAAGTTTTTCCTTAGAGTGTTTCAACTATCCACCCTCGAAGAAAACGACCTGCCTTGTGCCAAGCAATAAAATTGTCGATTAATTTTGGGACAAAATTTTCTAAGTTTGTTGTATAATTGAAATTTGATGTGGTGTATTGAGTGGGGGCTGGATCATCATTTGTGAGATGACTAGCTAAGTCTTGGCTTTATGCTAAGCCTAAGGTTTGTTCATGCCATAGTGGATAGTTTGTAAGATTGAGTCTGAAAATGATGTAATTGTCAACATTGAGAGATAAGGAAGTCATGTTGTAGTAAGGTGTTCACCTATATATTCATATGATATGATAGGAAAAAATATATAGCATAGAATACAATGTTTCTGCACAATTCTAAGTTAATAGATTCCAAATATAGATCAAATTTTTTGATTGTGTTTAGTTGGAATCCGGTTGATTTATGGCATTTAAAAAACTAATCCTCTAACGATTTTTCATTGTTAGTGACACAATTATAGGAATGTTGTTTGCTTCAGCTTCTTGTTTCCTTTTCTTTCATAATTATCATCCATGGACGAATGATTACTTGTAATAAAATTGTGTCTGTTGATAACTATTTTTTTTAAATTAAAAATATATATAATATTTTATTATATAAATTTATATTAATGTCTAATATAATTTTATGAATATATGTAGAGTTGAAATATAATGAAATATCAAATAATTTTTTTAATTTTCTAAAAAATTTATAGGTTTTACCTATTCATTATGAGTATTTTTAATTTAATAATTATTAAAATTTAATATAAATCATAAATTATTGAATGAAGTAATTTTATTAATATTAATAGTGATTTTTAAATTACACACGTATTGATTTTGTAAAATATCTATACACTTTGTTGATAAGTATTTTTTTTATTAAAGTTTAGCTAACCATTTTTCATGAAATCTCCTTTTAATCGCGTTCTTTTATTCAGAAAATTTGAACATGTAGTTTTTACTTAAATAATTGTTGCACAGTTTTATGCAAGTCATCAACATGTTGGTAAGTTTATGTAATAAATATCTGCTAATTAAAATAATATAAAATTATTTTAATAATTATATTGAATTAAAAATTATTCTTTTTTTAATAAAATTTAACCATACTCTGGCATTTATATATAAGATACAAATAGTTAATTTATCAAAATTAAACAAAATAGTTAAATTAATTAGTTGTAATTAATATGTGATAATTTAAAATTTATTACAAAAATATCTAAAATTAAATAGTGTTAGTGATAATTATATTTAATGATACTACTCATTAATTAAAAAATAAACTTTTCAATCAATAAATATGATTTAAACTTTTATAGTGTTGGTTGACTGATAAATATATAATTTTTTATAAAAAATATTAGATATGAAAAATTAATATATGTAGTGCTATATTTCTTGTCATTATTAAAACTAAAATAACACTCACAATTCAGTAAATTATTTCTCATATAGGATGTAATATAATTTAGGTATACTGATCTACAAAATTCTTGCAAGTGAAGCGTAGCAGCACCAAACCGAAACACGGAGAGGGATTCTCGTATTGCATACCACTTTATGACACACAGATTTACTTGCAGCTGTTTGTGAACGATAATGACACAACCCACAATCCTCGTGACTAGCTACTTTATTATGCCATATCTTTACTTTTTAAAACTATCATACGCTACAATTATTGTAAACAATTTTAATTTGAATAATATCATCTTTGGAATCGGATTCAGTAGCCATGCCGTCTCAAACTTGATCATCATTTTAGTTTTGACAACCACCAAAGGGGAGTATTTATTTGCTAAGAAAAAAATAAATAAAACAAGTCATTATATTTAAAATTGTAAACAACAGTTAATAAACTATTATCATTATTATTATTATTAAATCATGGTTCCTTTATCCTACAGTATCCGGAAAGGGCGAGAACCTGCGACGTCGTTTTCAGGCATTGGCATCAACAATGAAGCAACGATTTAACAATTGACAAGTAGATGGGTTATGGTTTATTTATAGACGTGGTGTGCGTTGTTGTGTTATTCAAGTAAGTGAAGTGAAGAGTACGAAGAGTTGTGGTCGTTTTGACATGGCAGCGTCGTCTTCAGAGAAGCAAGCGGTGGTGATAGGCATAGACGACAGCGAGCAGAGCAGGTACGCCCTGACTTGGGCTCTGGATCACTTCTTTCCGAGCCCAATCTTCAAGGTGGTTCTCGTTCACTCGAGGCCCACCGCTAGCTCTGCCGTGGGCCTCGCCGGGCCTGGTACGTCCATTCTGTTACGGCGTTCATGTTCACACTTTCTTGATTAATTCAATTGAGAATCTCTTCCTTAGCGTGTGCAGGAGCCGCTGAGGTCTTGCCTATTGTAGATTCTGATTTGAGAAAGATTGCCGCAAGAGTTGTCGAAACCGCTAAACAAATTTGCGTTAGCAAATTGGTAATTCCCTTTCCATGCCTTTTCCCTATGTTAAACTTCTTCGTATTTGTTAATCAGTGTCGTGTTGAACACGCTCAAACCACGTCGATGCTTCATAGGATAGTTATGAATAAAGTGAAAATTTATCAAAATAAATCAGAAGAGACTCCTTAACTAGAGAAACTGATCGAGGTTAGTAATTTTCAAATATTTCGGCTAATAATAAAGAATGTTTGAAAGAGATTTGCTAGCATAATAGCATTCCTATGATACTTAGGGCTATTAGAAATGTGCTGTATATTTTTATCATCGTGATTTTTTTACCCCTGGTTTGGGACAGAAGGAGAATCAGATATGATATGATATGATGCTATGTGATTTTACTTAATTTCCGATGTTTCAGTACTTTACGGGTTATGCCTGTGGAATAATTTCTGATGATGATGTTTTCTCAGGTAGATGATGTGGTAGCGGAAGTGGTGGAAGGTGATCCTAGAAATGTTCTTTGTGATGCTGTGGAAAAGCATCATGCTGCAATGTTGGTTGTGGGAAGTCATGGTTATGGGGCTATAAAAAGGTACAGCTTCCTTCCGCTTCCAATTATATCATCATTGCTTTGCAGTGATAGGTAATTAGAGTATGATAAATGCTTTTCTGAAACGTGTGAATGGGGCTGAGTCCTAGCATTTTCATATGAACCATAACCAGTACAAAGTTAAATTGTCAAAAACATGATGTCTTATTTTATTTTCTGACCCCCCTTCGAAAACAGAGTACCAGCCCAGAACGGGTCCTTCTGTTTATGTTCTCGCAAAAGCTAGATTAGCATCAGTTTTTGTGTGTTATCTTAATGCTATTGTATTCACAAACATTGAATTCTACTGATTACAAAGTCTCTCTATGATGATTAACCTATGGTAACACTTTGTTTTATCAAGTCCGTTTGACTTTTGTTTCTAGTTTACTATAATGGAATGGAACAAGCTATCACTTCACTTCAAAATCTCCTAATTCAGTTATACTTGGCTTGACACTCTTTTATTTATTTTTTTCAGGGCGGTTTTAGGTAGTGTGAGTGACTATTGCGCTCATCATGCTCACTGCACTGTGATGATCGTGAAAAAACCAAAAAGCAAACACTGATATGCATTGGCTGCGTTTATATAGTACAGCAATAAACGTAATCCTTTCAGCCAAAGAAAAAGAAATAATGTTTACAGAAATTCACAGTTATGCTTGTTCTATTGCTAATATGATATGTTGTCCTTATGGTTTTATACATTAAAGGTACAATTTATTTATTTTTAATGATGGAACCATAAAAAAATATGTATGTATTGGATTAAAAAACCTTAATACATGTGGAGCATTAATCAGCTGGGACCATATATGCTTATTGGTTTTGATTAGGAGTATAAGCATAGTTTTAAAAATCAGATCGGTTATCAAATCGGTTAGGGTACTAAGTCAATGAATTAAAGGTTGAACCGGTGGGTCATTAATTGAATTGCATGACCTGATTTTTATTAATTTTTTTAAAAAATGTTTGTGTTAAATATATTTTATACTTATAAATTTTAATAAATTTATATCTTATTTTAAATTTTAAATTTTATCTTATTTAAAATTATCTTTATTTTTATTTTGTATAAAGAAATACATAAAAAATTATATGTTAAACTGTATATTAATACAAATTAAAAATATAAATAATATGTACATATATAATTTACTTGTAATTGATATCACAAAATAATATATGTAATATCTGCATAGATATTATATTATTAAATGTATAATTTAAAATAAATAATATACTACATATATATTATAAACAAATACATTAGAACAAGTAGTCATTGTTATTTTTAATAAGACTTTTTGTTCTTTCATTAATAGGATTCAATTTCCATTGTTATTTTTATGGTTTGTGGTCCCTTAAAAAAATATTAAAAAAAATTTGTGATTGAATCGATTTGACCATCGGTTCACTGGTTGAACTGAAAAATTGATCGGCTCACTCTGATTCAAAACGGTTAAATGCATAATCGATCCAACTCGAGGCTTGGACTGGATGGACCAGCGGTTCTCGGTTCAACCAGTTCGATTGGCCGATCCGATCCGGTTTAAAACACTGAGTACAAGAAATTATGGGCAACTCGCGAATGTAAATTGATCCAATGAGTTTAAATAAGATTTTTTTAGTGTTTGAGTTAAATCTAAATTAATCCGATTGAAATCTGGTACTGTACTAGTCGGATAATGGATTGTGTTTATTTGACCTGTGATAATAATAGTAATAATAATAAGTTAGTGTAATCACTTGTTAAGAACAACATTCCCTATCGATTTTGTTCAGTAATAAATATTGTATTTTTTGGTTGATAATATTATAATAATACAACCTATTTATTTTAAATTTTGTTTTGTATAAATGTTAGTTGTTTGAATCAATAACAATATAGTAAATTAACAAATTTATTTTGAAATTTAGTTTGTATTATTATTTGTTTTATTGGTCGATAATATTGTATTTATAATAAGATATCAAATAATTTATAGGCTTAATTGCATTTTGATCCATGAAGTATTATAATTGTACAATTTTGATCCCCAAAGTTTTAATTGGGTAATTTTAGTCCCTAAGGATTGCAATTGTGGAATTTCAGTCCTTCAATTTTTAATTGAACAATTTTAGTCTTTCAAATATCATAATTGTTCAGTTTTAGTTTCTCCCATTAAAAATTTAATAATTTTAATATATTATATAT